TCACCGGGCCAGCGATGCGGCCCCGGCGCCCGGCCGAGCGCTCGGCTCTCAGCTCCGCGAGACCAGGGCTCCCCGGCCTCGCGTCCCAGGACGGTCCGGCCCGGCGCCCGGCCGAGCGCTCGGCTCTCAGACAGCTCCGTGGGGACTTGGGCTCCCCGCCTCGGCCTCGATGGCTCTGCTGACAGCCCCTCTGAATTGCATGTGAGACTCCCCACCCCGGTCTCTCGCTCTGCGCCTCCTTACTGCCCCCACCCCCCGCTGCCGGCTCTGTTGGCTTGGTGCCCCTGTTACCTCTCCAAGAGACGCCTGCTCTCTCCGAGGGGCACGCCCGCTCCCAGAGCTGGGAGGTGGGGACCGTGCCCCGTAAGGGGTCGGGGGTCAGTCAGGGAGCCGCCAGCCCGCTCTTCCCACGCACACGTGCACACATTGTATTCGAACCTCCTTCTCCCAGGTAGGGAAACCCTGCCTATTACAATTTCTGAGGGCAGGAGCGCAAACCCGCGAATGCATCTCCGCCTGTCTCCACATTATCTCTGTGATCCTTCGATCCCTCTCCAACGTCTGGGGAAGAGACTTTGTAAAATCTCAGAAGTTCAGAAAATGCAGACGCCTCCCGCAGAGCTGACCTGGTTCTTTCCAGCGCTGCCCTCTCCTTCCCAAGCTGCTTTTGGCTCCCCAGAAAGAGAGGCCCTCACACAGGGCAGATAGATGCACACCCAGGTGGCCAGCGCGGAGAGCGCTCCCAAGCTGGTGGTGGTGAACCCCAGAACTTTGTCTCCAGAGTTCTGCAGAGCAGGTCCGAGGCTCTCCTGGACAAAGATACTGCAATTACTCCACAGGGAGCGACCAGCGGCAGTGTCCTCACCTGGGCCATGTTTGTATTCAGTGGCTGAAATCTTCAGAATTCTCCAACATCTTATTGACACGTTCTCAGTCCCAAGGAGGAACCTCTGGTGCACAGTAAAATTCCTTAGGTGAGGCCAACTTTTGGGACTGGTCATCGCTAAGTCCAAAGCAATAACAGGGTCTCCCTCGCCGCCCCCCCCCCCCCGCCCCCCGCCGGACTTGGGTGCTGCTGAGAAGGGGAACAAGTTCCAGCAGAGCTTCTAAAACTAGAAGGAAAGTCTGGTAATGGAGCCCATGGAAACCAGTGAGTTTCAACAGTCCCATCTGTGGTCCGAGGGAGTGGGGAATGGTACAAGATCAGGCACCTGTTATAGGTGACATTGACCTGAGCTGACATTTCAGGACAAAAAGACAACCATAAAATAGGCCAAGGGTTGAACAGACATTTCATTCGAATGGCCACCAAAACCAAGATACATCACCAGCCTTCAAAGATGCTAATCCAAACTACAATGAGAGACTTCCCAGCAAGATGATGGTCGCACACAGATTGCATCCCAGACCCTCTACAGCTTAGACCCCAGAAAATAGATATAACAGGTGCACATTATAACCCTGGAGCAACCACCCAGCCATTCTCACCTCTACAAGAAGCTTTCTGTGGGCACAGAGGCCTAGCTGGAAGAAGTCACACACACACACACACACACACACACACACACACACACACACACACACTCCTTCTCCTGCAGCTTCACCACTGGGCAAGAGCAAAGATCAGCACCACCACCAGATGTAACCAGCCCACCAGGCTCCCCTCTGCTGCTCTAAATGAACAATGATTGCCTTCTTCTTCTTCTTCTTTTTTTTTTTTATCCACATATTTTCCACCTGAGGCTGGCTGAATCCGTGGATGAGAACTGTTGGGTAAGGTGGGCTGATTTGATCATGCATGTAAATTCATACATAAAAAGAAATGATGACACTTTGACTTCATGAACTGGGAAAGGCAAGTTCGATCCTGTCTCCCAGGAGCCCCCCAGCATACAGGAGTGTGATTCAGAATGACTGGCAGCCCCAGGGGGGTCAGGAAGGGGTCCTCCCAGGTCAGGATTAAAGGGATTGGTAGAGTTGGGAAGAAGATTGGCATGGTTCCAGCTTCCCATCAGGGTGATCTGAGTAGATTTTAATTAAAAAAAAAAAATCCAAGAAACTGCACTGCAATCTCAGAGGCACACAGTTCAAATCCACCAGAAGCTCTGCTGGAAAAGGAGGGGCAATCTCCTCCTGTACCAGTCAGATCCAATTTGATAGTACACACACACACAAAAGAATAAAATAAAATTTAAAAAAAATAAAATTAAATAAAATAGTACAAAATCTAGAAATTCCTCTCTCCTGATCCCTTCCCCTAATCTAGGAAAATTGAAGTCAGATTCTAGAAATAACTAAGAAGACTATTCCCTTCAACCTTAATATCAAACTGGATTCTCACTGAAACCCACAAGGCAAGTTCTTCATCTTACAGATGTGGGCTTAGGCTTAGCTCTGTGTAACCACGGTAACGAGTGGGCGTGTGCCTCCTCTCCGATGTACACTGCTCTCCTAACCACTGGCTAGACTGCAGGAAGTGGCCCTGGAACTCAAGGCCCGGGTGTCTCTGCTGGTTTGAATCCACCCATAGCTCCTCAGAGAAGGATGAAGAGTCTCCTCACAGGTAATTTACAGCCTTGGAGAGCATGGAAGGCCAGCTGTCTCAGAGCCGCTCGACAGCAATGAGTGAGTGCGACCTATGAATGGGTTTCTGTTTGGACATGGAGTTCTCTTCCTATGATCATTATGTCAGACTCAAAGAGAAAGAAAAACCACCAGATCACATCGACTCCCACTCATTGCCACTCGCCAAGGGCTTCAGAGGCTGGTGGATTTGCCTGCTGACTTTCCCATCAGCATCCAACACTTAACACACCACTCCACCAGGCTCCTAAGTCATTTCCCTGCTGAGTGCTGTATGGAGCAGAACGGACCCAGAGACACCAGAGACATGGAGAAGGCAGATGCCACAGGAAGAAAAGGAGATGGGAGCCCCTGGTTTGGACTGGTAGCCTCCAAAACTGGACGAAAAGTGTCACCTGCTCCTTAAAGCGACTGTTGTGGCATTTTTGTTACAGCACCCCCAGGAATCTAAGGCATCATGTGAGGCAGGAGGGCTGTATGTACAGGAGAGAGCTGAAGTCCGAGAGTTCAGCACCCGTGCTCCATTGGCAGCTCTCACGCACCAGAATGGAGCACTGTGAACACCTCATCAACTGGGCTCTGCTGGAACCCTGGTGTCCTGTGTGTTACACAGAGGTCTGTAACCTAAAGGTCAATAGTGCAAATCCACTGGCTGCTGTGTGAGAGATAGATGCACAGCTCCCTCGTGTAGGGATTTACAGCCTCAGAAATCCGATGGGGAGTAATTACGTCTGAGAACCAAAGAAACCTCCTGGGGCTCTGCTGGCTTGGCTGTTTCAGTGAGGCACTTCCTCCTCGCGGCTGGGCAGCCCTGCTCCTGCTCACTTCCTTCCACTTGACCAGGCGGGTCTGGACGAGAAGGGCCACGTCTTATTTTGTCATCCCAGCACCTCAGTTGAGCATTTGCTGCTGACCAAAAGGATGGCAGCTCAGATTAGCCCAGTGGCTTCTTGGGATAAAGACTTGATAATGAGAATGCTTACAGCCCAGGAAATATCACGGGTTGGTTCTACCCGTTCTGCTCTGTTAGGTGAAATGTCGACATTGACCCAATGACACCTAACAACAGCAGCAGTCTCAGCTCCTAATGTAGGTCTTGGGACATTGGCAGAGTAAGTGAAATGTATACACAGGCTGGTGTTTCCTCTAAAAGACCAGAACACTCCGAGTGCCCTGTGGAATTTCTTGTAAGAAAGTACATTTAACACAAGAATATTTATTTCTGACTTTTGGAGGCTACCTTGAGCAATCAAGGTGTTGGGAATATATTTTAACACATCCTATAGTTTAGGAATTCATCTGCCTGTATGCACCTACCAAGAGTTGAACCCGTTTAAGGGAAATACAACTCTGACTCTGACACAAACAGGTTTCTTTTTTTTTTCTCTATAATTATATTTTATTAATTTTCATAAACATTTACAGAGATTTTGGGCTTCCACTCATTCATTGTTGCACTATTCTCTCTACCCTCCTCCCAGTTTGTTCTTGTCCAAATGCCACAGTGCTTGTCAAAGCCAGTTCTGATTAATCTTCTTTGTCAGTGTGTCCTTTGCCATTCCCTATCACTCCTCCCTGAGAGAGACTTCACCCTGAGTCATAAGGAAAAGGGGACGGCGTATTCTCTTAGCTACTTCCTGCTGAGAAGGGACGCTGTGGGTTTCAGGGTGAAGATCTTCTCTCACTACTCTAAAGGTCCCCTTTGGCAGTAGGAAACGCATAGACTATTATGGAGATTGATTTTGGAATTCAGATGCATTCTTATTGATTGTGCTTGGCTGTACATGTACATATCCTTCAAGATGTATCATGGGGGTGTTGCAACCTAGAAGACACAAATTTGACTAACAAGTTATAAGTACATGAGTCCAAAAATTATGGAAAAGTAAAAGAAAAGATTCTTTCATTGTTTTACAAACACTCCCCCAGGTCCCCTCCACCATGCAGCCCTCGCTCTAGTCTCCTGTGATGACAGAAATACCCAGTTACATCTCTCTTTTAGACGGTTCTCTCCCTCCTCTGTTTCAGTGCAGTATACATTATTGAACCCATCTTACTCATTCTCTCCCCAACCCCAAGGACAGTCCCATTCTACAACAGTGGCATCATGTAATATTTGTCCTACAAACAGGTTTCTTGATGTTTTACACTGTGAGTGTATGAGTGCATAAAAATAGTTTTCTTCCTAAAAGAACTCTGACAGCAGTAAATACAGTTTCTGTTTGTATGTTGTCATTGTTAAGTGCTCTTGAGTTGGCCCTGATGTGTGGCAACTTCTGTCTTATAGATCCGCTTGGATCTGTGATCAGAAGGAAAAAATCAAAGAGCTTATTACATTGGGCAAATCTGTCCAGGACCTCTTTAAAGTGTGGCAGAGAAAGGACGCTGGTTTAAGGCAAGCTTACTCCAAGCCAGAAGCTTTTTGATAGCTTCACTTGTGTATGAAAGTTGGACAATGAGTAAGAAGTCTGAAGAATAATTGCTTCTTGTGAATTGTGATGTTGGCAAAAAATTGTTAATATTCTGCAGTGTGTCAAAGGAGCTCTGGTTGTCTAGGGTAAGAAGCTGAACTGCAACCTCAAAGGCATGCAGTTCAAATCCACGAGCTGCTCTACGGGAGAAGGATGGGCAATCTCCTCCCATCAATTAATGGCCTCTGAAAACCCACTGGAGGGTTAGCCATGGGTTGGTCCCAACTCAATGGCACACAACAACAACAACAACGTGGACTGCCAAAACATGGAACAAACATGTCTT